ACGGCGACTGCCCCGAGTCAAGGCTGCGGGTCGGCCTGCCGCTGCACGGCTACTCGTCCGACCAGACCCGGGCCGACGTGGCGATGCCAGACTTCACGTTCGAGTACTACAGGGACATCCACTCTCAGGATGAGCACCCAGGCCATGGGTCGGGGGTGGACAGACCTCCTGCCCTGTCGCGTCGATCAGCGAATTGGCCGTCTTCGGTTCGCGAGGGGGCGTCGCGGCCGCCATTCTTGCGGGGCCAGGTCCGTCGGTCTCGGTCCCGGGCCGTTTTCACGAAAGGGAGGTTTACGAGAGGGTGGCTTGTCCACCGCCGAAAGGAGGAGGAGGAGGAGGAGGAGGAGGAGGAGGAGGAGGAGGGAGGAGGAGGAGGAGGAGGAGGAGGAGGAGGAGGAGGAGGAGGAGGAGGAGGGGCTCCTGTCAGTCGGAGCTCCCAGCGAGGGTCTGGGCTCGGCGCGGGGCCCACGCCGCCCCAAGGGCGCGCTCCGAGGCGCCGGGGGCGGGGGGGGGGGTCCCGGCGCCGCTCCCGGGATCCGCGCGGAGCTCCGAGCCTTCCTCCGTACAGTATATGCCGTCCATTCGGACTGCTGCTATTGAGTCGGGCGTGTCCCTCGACAGGGGGGAGCCTCAAAAATAGTCAAGAAAAAACTAGTCTGGAGGCAATTGCTTGACTCTGTTTGGATTCTCTGGGCGGTATGTTTTTAGTGTTTCTCATGTTTCGCCCAAAATCCCCCTGTAGGGGGACACGCCCGACTTAATGCTACTATGCAAGGCAGTTGTCAAAGCTGATATTCGGCCGGATGGCGATGGGGGGATGAGGACATGGGGGGATGAGTATCCGGTACCGTTTAGTTGGGGTACAATGTGTACCTTCTCTGCGGGTTGCAAGTACAATGTGTACCTTCTCCCCCCCGTTAACATCCTCGCACATGTCGCGGGCGTTGTCAAAAGTACAATTTGTACCTTGTCTGCGTGGCGTCGGTACAACTTGTACCTTCTCCGTGGGGCGTAGGTACAATTTGTACCTCGGTTGCGCCTCTCTCCCCATCTGGACTGATCCCCCCATTTGCATCCCGCCAAGATATGCCGAGTGGCGTGGGGTCGTGGGGGCCGAGCCTGCGCGGCTTCCAGGCATGCGACCGGCGCGCATTCGCGGCTGATCAGTGAGGTGGGTGCGGTGGCGGGTTAGCGGGCTAGTTCGGTAGCAATTCTTTACGCTTCGCGTATCTCGGGGGAGCGTAAGACCCGGGTTTGCCGGGACTCGGGTTCGCCATCGTTTTTTGACGACCGCGACTCGGATTTTGACGAGGAGGAGGTTCGTGGGATGTCTGCAGCGGGAGGCCTCGTCAAAATGCAGGCTCGGCCTCGTCATTTTTTTGACGACCTCGTCGGGGATTTCCGAGTCCCCCGTACCCGGGTCTTACGTCTCCCCGAGTATCCCCACCAGCCCATCTCACAGCAGCAACTCTCGCGAAGCATGCCGACAGTCGTGTTTTTCAGGCGTGTGTCCGCTTGGCCCCGCATATCTCCCCTGTTCCTCCTTCCTCCCGCCTCCTTGTACATCCGCCTTGTGGGGGGAGCGGGAGAAGGACGAGGCGGAGGAGGAGGGAGAGAAAGCGCTCCTCGTGGTTTGAGTCGATTGGGGTTTCTCGTCCTGGTGTGAGTCGTTCGGGCCCTTCTTCCTGGTGTGAGTCGTTCGGGCTCTTCGTGGTGTGAGTCGTTCGGGCTCTTCGTCCTGGTGTGAGTCGTTCGGGCTTCTCGTGGTGTGAGTTGTTCGGGCCCCTCGTCCTGGTGTGAGTCGTTCGGGCCCCTCCTCCTGGTGTGACTCGTTCGGGCTCCTCGTGGTGTGAGTCGTTCGGGGCCCTCGTCGTGGTGTGAGTCGTTCGGGCTCCTCGTGGTGTGAGTCGTTCGGGCGCCTCGTCCTGGTGTGAGTCGTTCGGGCCCCTCCTTCTGGTGTGAGTCGTTCGGGCTCTTCGTGGTGTGAGTCGTTCGGGCCCCTCGTCCTGGTGTGAGTCGTTCGGGCTCCTGGTGGGGCCTCTTGGGAGCCTCTTGGGGGCTGTTTCCCGTAGGCCCTAGTGGGCCTTGTGTGCGTGTTCCCTCTCGTCTCTATGTATCGTCTCCGTAGCCGTTAGGCTTCGCGCGAGCAAGCATGCTGTTGGTCGCAGTTCCTTGGTATCAGAAAGTGCCCCTCTCCTCATCGTTATCTTTGGGCCCCCAGCGCCATTCGTCCTACGGTTTGTGACAGTGGTAAGCGGAGCAATGCCCGAGAGATTGATTGAGCCAGGAGGGGATCGAGGCACCGAGGACCTCGACGGCCAACGCAGTCCCGCAGAGCGCAACACCACCGACACTCCAGACGAACAGTCGCCACCAGCAGGTCCAGACGAACAGTCGCCATCAGCAGGTATTCCAGGATCGTGGGTATGGGTTCCGACAAGCAAGAAGGATTGGTGGCAGAGTTCTCCGGGCTGGAAAGGAGGTTGGGACGACACGGGAGGCGACGGCTCCTGGAGCGAGTGGGAAGGAGGTTGGGACGACGAATATGGAGACAGTTCTTGGAGCAGGAGTTGGTCTGCTCCGAATCGTGATTTCGGCTCTCCTCCACCGTGGCTGGGAATAGATAATCTTGACACCTGGAGACATAATGTTTTCGCGTGGACCAAAAGAACGGGATTCAGGGCCGAAACCCAGGCGAGCAGAATACTAGAAGGACTTCCTGTGGACCTGCAGACAAAATTTCGGACTATTCGAGCACCGTTAGATGAAGAAGACGGAGTCCAGAAGCTGCTCAGCCACCTGGGCCTCCTCAGCGGCGAACGTCCCGGGGATCGTGAGAGACAAGCCCAGAATACAGCTCTCTTCAATTACATGCTGGAGAAAGGAGAAAGTCTGACAGAGTATGTTTTGAGACGAGATGTAGAAATAGGCGAAGCTGAACGGTTCTCTCTGATTCTTCCCGACGAAATCAAGGCGAGGTACCTCGAGGAGGGAGCCTGTCTCAGCATGCAGAATAAGATAAATATGCGTACGCTTGCAGGAGGACTTTTAGATTTCGCTTCGATACGTGCTGCCATTCTGAAATTCGACGTGAAGGAGACTTTCTCAGTGCTTCCAACCTCACATGCACCGGTCAAGACGTTCGTGAATGATTCTGAAGAGGCCTCATCCTCAAGTCAAGTACCGCCCCCACCGCAGCCATGGGCTTCACAACCAGACGAAGAACGAGAAGTGTTTCTGACGGACATAGATGACTCAATCGAGCTTCCCGAGGAAGACGCCGAGGGCTTTCTGGCAGCATTGGAGGATCAAGACCTGGGCGAGAACGAGGTACTCCAGATCTTCGGCGCCGTGATCGAGGACCGCTTGGGCAAGGAGAAGCGCCGGACCTGGGCGGAGGCCAGAAAGATGAAGGCGGCCAAACGAGTAGATCGGGACTTTTTCGACAGGAGACGTTCGACAAAGCCTGGATTTCGCCGCGCGATGATGTCCGACATCAAAAGGAAGACGAGATGTGCCAACTGCGGGGACCGAGGCCATTGGGCCGAGACCTGCAAGAACCCCTTTCGATCGAAAGCAGACAGGATGGTCGCCGAGAAGACCAAGAAGACCGACGCTCCCAAGAGCTTCATCGACCTGTTGCCGGAGTCTGAGAACTTCATCAGCGTATCCGAGTGGAACGGCCTGCCGAGGGCATGTCAGCTGAAACAGTCAGAGTTATCCCTACGACAGATGGGGGACCATGCGTTAGTCGACACAGCAGCCGGCCAAGCTCTTATCGGCAAGGATGATCTCTCGGTGATGAAGGAGGCTTTCGAGCGTCGTGGTTTCCGCATTCTGGTGAAGGAGGGAACGGTCCCGGGAGTCGCGGCGAGCGGCATCGGAGGTCGCGTCGAGCCCGTGGCCAGGGCGTGGGTTCCAGTCAGCCTCTGGCGTTGCGGAATTGTTGAGTTTCTCGTACTGCCTCATCGGTGTCCTCCTCTTCTACCCGCACGGTTGTTAGAAGCGATGAAGGCAGTGATCGACCTTGGAAACGACGAGATGATTCTCGGTGACTTCGAGAAGGTCAGACGTCCACTGGTACGCCACACGGCCGGTCACCGGTCGGTTGGACTCATCCACTGCGACCCCGAGGACTTCAAGATCGCGGACGAGATCTACCAGAAGATGCCGGAGGACGTGCGCCAGGACATGAGGGGGGTTGGGCGGTAGGCAGTGACAGTCGACAGGCCCTGTCTCAGTCTCTCTCCTTCGGTGTTGGGAGTGTGTTCGGGTCCCGGGGAACAGCGGTCCAAGGATCAGGGTCGAGCTCCGGAGGCGTTTTGGCTCAAAGCTCAGCTAGCAGGATTGGTTCCACACGCGTCCGTGACGGTGAAGAAAAGTCTTTCGCTGAAGGCCTCGGCTCCGAAGCCCAGGAGAAGGGCAGCAGCGCAGCTCGGTTTTATCCACGAGGATGTGGAGTTCAACGACTGGGGGGAGATCCCGGAGGAGCTGCAGGGGATCAATCTCGCCGAGGAGGACATGGGCGATCAGGACCGGGAGGAGTTCAATCTCGGGATCTTGCCACTCGCGCCAGTTCTGATGCGCTGGAGGCGATGTACTCTTCGGCTCCTTCACATCGCGTCGACTTGTCTCAGGATCCACGGGGTGGCGACGATGTGGCCACAAGCAGTGGAGATGAAGTTCGACTGCCAGGAGACTTGCCCGCATCCACCGTGGGCCGTCGAAGAAGGGAGGAACGCGACAAGTGTATATTCGCATTGCCGGATGTGCAAGACGCGCCTCTCATTGCGCGACAAGACCCCTCAGGCGAAAGCCGCAGCACAGGCCAAGAAGTACGCGAAGGAGGCGAAGCGCGAGGCCGGCCTGAAGATGAAGCAGGAGCGCAAGGAGATGGTCGAGGGCTACTCGGGCCCTCCAGGGGACCCCTGGTTGGCGGAACCTGTTTCTCACGATCCCTCCCGCCCGAGAGCTCCGGCAGCTCGTCCGATGTCATCTGC